TATATATATATATATATATATATATATATATATATATATATATATTTACACTAATCCTACAAATTTTAAAAAGTTCTTAGGTCGAATATTAAAATTAGTTATGTCTATTTTACTATTAATATTTCTGTCATAAATGTAGAGTTTGGTCTATTTGTGATTACTAAGAGAACACGTATTATGATTAATGCGTTACATTATTTTTAAAACTTCATAAAAAACAAAAAAATTTGAATGGGGTGAATAAAAAATTTCCCAAAAGCTGAGTGAAATGTCTCACAGGCATTTGTTGTTCTTTCGCTTGATATGTTACACGATGACCAAAAATAGGGGAAAAAGTAGCATTTTCATCAATATACGAGTATGTATCAATGAGGTAATCGGAAAATGTATGTAGCTCGAATATCGATTGGCGTAATAGATGTATACTTTTTTTCCATCCCATAATTTTTCTTTCTTTGCCTGCGATTTTCGGTGTAATTGATATTAAGTCGATTTTTATAGGTACTACACTAGTTGGGTCCTGAATTATTTTAGGTATTACACTAGTTCCTGAATATTTTTTGGTAAGTACTACATTATACTAACATTTTCTTTCTCATTTTAACAGACTTAGGACTATCTATGATCTATTTAGACCATAGATATGGTTAAAAATGTTTTTTATAATTTTTTTTATTTTTAATTTCTTTTCCCTTAAAATATAAATTATGAGAATTGAGTTTGTAAAAATATTAAAAATGTTAAAAATCAAGTATAAAAATACATATTATATAATATAATCATAGCCATATAGGTAAATGAAAAAATATTAAAAATGTTAAAATCATTATATAATATAAATAAAAATTAATGTAAAAGAAACAAAAAAACAATAAAAAACTATAAAAAAACATTTTCAACCATAATTTTGGTTTAAATAGATCATAGATAGTCCTAAGTCTGTCATAATGGAAAAAAAATGTTAGTATAATATAGTACTTACCAAAAAATATTCAGATCTTATAAAAATCCGGGACCCAACTAGTGTAGTACCTAAAATAATTCGGGACCCAACTAGTATACTAATTTTAAATTCGAACCCAATAACAATGCAGCCATTTATTCACAAACACTTATCCAAATACTTGATCCATTTTATTGCCTTTTGTAGTTTCTTTGATATCCTGACTAAATGTTCTCGTCTGACATTCTGTCATAATATGACTTATAATGTATAAGTAGTTAATTATATTTTAATTTTAATTAGACACATATAAATTATTATCTATTTTATAATTCCAATGAAAATAATAATTTTTTTATTCAATCAAAACATTTTAAATTGGTTTATGTAACATTACTTAAAATTAATATATTTAAATTATGTTTTCATCAACATATTATTAAATAATTATTAAAATGTATTGTTAAGATATTTATTCTAAATGTCTGTGCAGTTCTAAAAATTGTAACTTTTAACATAACATAGCCTTCTATAAGGATAGTTAAAATCAATAATATAAGACTATGGATACCAAAAAAACAAATTTAAGACTTAAAAAGTGATATATTTTTTTTACGAAGTACATATTAAGTATGCATAACATGATATTATATTTAATTCTTAGTCTTAAATAGAATAAATCCTTGATAAAATTAAGATTATATAGTATACAGTCATTTGAGATTTCGTTAATGTTAAGAGCTTTTTAAATTTATATTATGTATCATTATTTTTATAATTTTTTAATATTTATTATATTTATAATTTCATATATTTTTTAAAAAAATTTAAAATGAAATAAATAGTTGTTTTTTTTTTTAAAAAAAAGTTTCGGTTACCTTAATAATGAAAAAAAAATTAAATTTATTCAATATAGAACCATTAACAGTTACATGAGTAATAACGTCAATATATACATTTGAAAATATATTAAATTAATCGAATATTATTTACTATCCAAATATTAGCATTATATTTATTTTTATATATTATATATTTAACCTAATAAAACTGAATTCTAATACAAGCCTTATGAAATATATAGGAGTAAACAAGTAAGCTATTCGCAGTTCAATCAAACTTTAGAACCATTTAATATAACATTAATGATCAAATGAAATGAAATGGTTTTATTAAGGTATATCATACCAATGCACCATAAAATTAAATAATTAATTATTTTGAAGTTTGTGGTGTTAAAAAACCTTGGAGTCGAGATATAAATGTAAATACATTAAATTCATAAATACCTATTAAGATATTATCCTATCATCTATACGGTAAGTCTTAACTATAATATATTATAACTAATAATTTTATTCAATAAATCGTGATAGGTTTCATGTTCTTTACATATTTCACGGAACTCTAATACCCCAAACGTGGATAACTTATATTATAATAAAAATAATTTTATTGAAAAAAAACATTATGGCTGACTACTTGTTTATAAATGTTTCAAAAATGGCGATGTTTGTTTGCCTAACAATTTACTCTCGCATAAACTCATAAGAAAAACAAATATTAATTTTCATTACAAAATAGAATAAACTATTTTTATCATCTGTAGTTGTATATATGCTGCTACATTCCATAACGTAATAGCAACTATGTTATAACAAAAAATAGAGTTATTAGTGACCAAAATTCCTATCCCTTTATAAAAAGTATTTGGTCTACATCTATGAACTAGTTTGACTTGACTTTGTTCATGACCGTATTTTCTCCTTTCGATTAAACCAAAAACTTGAACAGTGCCTGTTTAATTCCTGTAACAATATAAAATATATGACGTATTTATTAACTCTTTTCAATTCCTCTAGTTTTATGAAATAATTTCATTAGTTTCATTTAGATGAATTTTATTTTTCCTCTAACAGTTCATAAGCACAATATAGTTCAAAAAAAAAAAGGTAAGTTACTAAATACAGAGATTTAATATGCATTTTCATTTTTTTTATCTCGATGGTTTCGAGAACACATGGTTATTTTTATTCCATAAAAAAAAAGGAGTCATATAATAATTTTTAAAAACTTCTTAACCTTTAATTATCGTGCTTATATTATATTGATATTCGTTCTTTAGTGTTGTTCTTTGAAACACGATGATTAATTACTTTTAAATGTACAATAAACGACACATTTAAAATGAAACCATTTTGGTTTAACCAAAATGCAATTCTCGGGAGACTAATAGCTAAGTCAAGCAAAAACATAAGAATACCTAAGAAATACAAAAGATAACAGTTTCCTTTTTTTTAAAGACGTAAAATAATTTATTTTTTATTACCTAATAATATTAAATTAATAAGTTATGGTATTAAATCTATCTAAACAACGGATTAAGGTAAAAAGAAAAAATTACTTTATTGTTTACTGGTAAATCATTTTTGTCGCAACAATTATTTGTATGAGCTTTCTAATCTGTTAATCCATCGGATAAAAAAAACAAATAACATACCTAGCTCGAATGATTAATTTTTTTATATTATTTTACTGTTTTCATTTCCAAATATGTGGTGAGTCGATAAATAGTAGACTTGTATTCTCACTGTGGTCTTCTGATTTGAGACATGACTTAATAAACTTGCGGTGTCTGGTCGAAATTGGAGGCTGATGAGAATCAACCATGTCTTATTATTATAGAGACGGAAGACTAATTGTCATCTGATGGCATTTACATGGCCTTTTGTAGATAGGATTCGGTGATAACTTTTTAGTGAAGGCGTAATCTATGATAGACCATGCAAACGTTGGTGTCGATTTTTATTCCAGACCAAGAAGCCGTTAAAGTGTTACCGCACAGAAAAAACGATAATTAATCAGAAATATACATAAATAAGTAGGACAGCCACTGAAATACTTTCAACCCAGATTATTTATTTATTATTGTACTGAAAATACAATTTAATCTCAAGAGTAGAACTTCTGACCGGATTTCATTGCAATTTCAAATAACATGTATGTCGAATTCTAAATAGAAATGTTCCGAGTTTAATAATCAAATAATTGTTTATATCGTATAAACTTATTTATATATATAGTATAGAACAAGCTTAATTTGAAATACAATTTTAAACTTATAATAAAAAAATAATATTTGTAAGTGATACAATTTTTTTAAATTCATCTTGTTACAATATATAACTCAAAAAAAAAAATCAACAGGCCATAGGATAAATATACCAGTTAATAAGAAATTTGATTCTCATGAATCCATTTCTAAATATATGCCTGTTAAAAAACGCTCCTCAATTAAGAAATAAAAAATAATATGCTCTATATGAAACCTGCAAACATTACATTAATAAGAATATAGAAATACCAATGTCTATTTTAATAAATATTACATAAACTACATTCGGGTAGTTTCGATAGTAATATCTAAAAATTATTAATATTTAATAATATTATACTTTTATTTTATTATCAATATTATTGAATTTATTATTATATTATTTTAATTTTTTACGTATGGTATATAATTAAATTACCACACTTCTACTTACTGATTAGCGTATAATTAAATTATCTTACCTATTCACTTTAAATATTGAGGGAGCTATTACAGTTTAGGACTCTGGACTGGAAGTACACATTTTTTTTCATATTTTGGATACCCAGTAAATATTTTATTTGATTAAATACATTGATTTTAATAATTTTCGTTCTTGGTTTATGTAAATTATTAAAGTGTAAAATAAATAAAAATAAATTATGATTGTATCCTTTTTTCAACCTCTTTTTTTACTTTTTTTTACATCGTAATTCTTCTAGCTCAATATTTCTCAACTTGAGAAGTAAAATATTTTTCAACATCCCCTTAAAAATAAAAATGAATATGGTTTACTCGAAAAATGTATGGTTGAATAATAAATACTAAATAAATGTACAAATTAATATTACCAGACTTAACCACTACTACAAAAAAGCCATGGTGTATTTTTCAACATATTGTCTGTGTTTTAGTTTATAGATTTTAATATTAATATAATACATACATCCTCCCCATTAATGGCTTCATCACCAAAAATAAGTTCACCATCCACGATAAAAACCAATTCTCTAGCTATTCTAAAATTGTTAAAGATTTGGAATGCCAGATTGAGTAATTCAGCTAACATCAAACATTATTATAAAATAATAAAAAGTAAATAAAATTGTTATATTATAAAATATAAAATAAATAATTTTAATTATTTAGAAAATATTTTCTAATAATTCTTTGATAGAAAATTTTTAATGAATTGCAAAAATTATTAAAAAACATTTTAAACGCATTACGGTTTTTCTTCTTCTATCCATTTTAATTGTCGAGCACTCATGCAATTTAAGTTATATATAAACTACTCAATGTGATTTTCATATTTGTATAATTTATACAATGATAAATTCAGCAAAAAACATACCCACTGCAGTTTGTATAGTTAGTTTTTATTTTTGTTATATTAATTTTATTAGAACAATTTAAGTTAAAACATTTATTAAATTTAAACATTTTTATATTTTCCTAGGTAGTCAACCAGAAAATTGCTATAATCTTCAAAATTGTATTAGCTAATGCAAGGAAAAAGTCTCATTTTATTGTTCAAATATAAATGACGATTACGATGACAGTACTAAGCATTTGGCTGTCTATAATCAATCACAGTGGTTAAATCTAGAAGCATCAACCATTCTACTTCAAATTTCAATAAGAATCTCATTATAAAGTAAGATCTTCTACAATTTTTACTTAATGCGTAACTACATTTTTAAAATTAGATAAGAATAATTTAAAAAATAATATCTTCAAAAAGACAATTTTCTATCAATTAAATTAATCTGTAAAATTGTTGAATGGTCTATTTGTACTGAATCTACAAAATTAGACCAAGAATAATATATTTATTTAAAAACTAATAACTTTAATGACTATGTTTTAATTATTGTTTATTCATAATTTATTTGAAAATTTAAAACATATGTTATAATTTAACATATTTTAGAGATGTAACAACATTTTTTTATATTATTATTTTAGTGCGTTAATTATCATTTTCACAGATTACTTCTATTTAGTTTGGCTTACCCGACTATTAATTATCTATAGTTAATTTAATCTCAAAACTAATAAAAATTATAACACTTAACATATTTAATTGATAGTTAATAATTTATAGTAAGATGGTTCAACTTTTTATAGTCGATAGGCCAATTCATAGATATATATATATATATATATATATAAACACTGGGGGCCACAAAAGAAAAACAATTATTTTTATACATATTTTATAACTTCACTGCCTAGGAAAATCCATAGAATTATTGTTTATTATTATGATTATTAATATTGGTAAATATGACCGATTTTCACCGTCTGTCACCACTTTTGATCCCGTTTCACACACGATGGTTTCGTTCGTACGAATTTTTTCTGAACAGGCGTAATTTCCACACATAACGGTTTTTTCCCCCTTGAATCAAATACATTTGGTTGTATTTTACTTTTAAACTCTTAAATTCGGTTAGCTTTCAACATAAATCGAAAATACACCATTTACATGTGGCTTTTGTATCGTTGGTTGCGATTACGTAAAAAATAATGTAACAATCGTATTTACTGAATACATCCAATTACTAAATACACACTTCTTCCCAAGCATTTTTGGTTCCATTTTTATCTTTGTAAAGATCATGAGACTTATCCCAAAAGATAGGTCTGCATTCCACAACACAGATATAAAAATTTCTATGTCAATAACCATGTTTACTTATTACAAAAAGTGACAACGAGCAGCTTTGACAACGGACGGCAGACGAATAAAAATCGTATTTTGTGAAAGCATGCACGAATTCACATGGGTGACTGATAAGACGGTGACGGCACAGCACCGTAATTTTCAGTTGTTGACACAGTTGCATCATGACGTACGTACCTACAGAAAAAAAATCTATTCACCGTCTCCAGTGAAAACTGCAATTACTGTCTTGTGCTTACACCCTATTAAAATCCGTACAGACAAAACAGTCCTGAATAAATTGATCTTTGTTGTTTTTATCAATCACGTTCATAAACACTTTAAAATTATTAAATACATTTACTTCATAAAATTGTCTTCTAAGTGAGTAAAAAAAAAAAGGTTTTAAAAGCAACGGATTGACCATACTTATATACTGAATTTAAAATATTTTTTTGTTAAAAATAAGAATTTGTATTTAAAATACATCGAAACATTACCATTTGTGTTGAATCACTTAAAGAATTTTAACTATTAAAATATTTTCGGAGATTAATTTCAGCAACTTAAAATTTAAGAGTAAGTATATTTATTTCTAAACTTACTTTAAATTAACAGACGTACCTATATATTTACTATTAATATTATAGAATTAATATCATATTATTAAGACGAACTATTAATTTTTGATTTTATGATAAACCAATATATTTTTTTATAAATTAGAAGTTGGAACATATTTTTTATTATACCATTACCAAATAATAATCAATATATTTTATAAATTAAATAATATTAATGTAATATTTAGCGAAGAATGCTAATACACGTGGTATGGAAAATGCTGTTTAATAACAAAACTTTTCTTATTGTATTCGAAATATCGTCATATTATTTTAAAGTTTTTATCATAACGAAAGTTGTTTTTCCTTTAATATCTAAACGCATTAATGTAGCTTATATTTTATTTATTTTTGTCGTATGATGATCAAAGTTCAAAAACACTTAGTTACATCTTGTTATACAATTACATTTAAGTATAATATTATGATAACTTTCGAGAATAATAGTTATTTGTTTTAAATACATGAACATATTCAATATAGTAAACTATTTCACGGTATAGTGTACATTGATATGTATATGAAAGCTATAGGATTGTCCGATATTAATTGTATGGTGTTTACACACAGTTACGTAGAATTATATTTCACATATTTTTAAGTATCAGTAGGTCCAACAAAAAATACCACGAGTAACTATAACATTATCGATGAATACTTGTTAATGTACATTTACAGATCGTTCAATTATTTTGTTTTTTATGTATTTTTAATAATATTTACTTTTGGATTATGTTAAAAATATAAATACAGCATTTTATTCAATTTACGAACAATAAGTCAACGCTTAAGTCGGTTATAAAATAGCCTTAAAATGTAGTTCTATATACTTATCACGCAGGATTAAGTTAAAAATGATATTGTTTATTGAGATTTAAAATAAAATTCAAGCCTTGAGCTCAATAATATAGTATAGCAGGAGTGGGCAACTAACGCCCCCGGGCCGCATCTGGCCCGCCAGATTTTTTTATCTGGCCCGTATTATATTTTAAAATTACATCATACAATTTTAAAGTTTATCGTCTATACTCTGACTTATTGAAATAATAATTTTTATATAGTATTAAACATCGTTAAATATCTAAATGTCATATGTATGTATAAGTATAGCTTTCAACCATAGCTGTTCGTACCAAACTATTTAACTATATCAGTTTTTTCGTATCATTCGTATCGTGCTGTTGTGTGTGTTAAATTTATTATTTCCGTGTATATAAATGCTAATTAAAATTCATATTTTGAATGACTTCTTTTATTTTTCTATGTTCTGGCCCGCTAGATTTTAATTTTTTAAAAATTGGCCCTCTAGTAACTTTGAGTTGCCCATCCCTGTACTATAGAAACGGTAATTATAATTTCAATATAGGTACTAGGTAATGCAATTTAAAATTTTTTTTTATTAAATTAATAAGGCTTCAACATTTGAGATAATTTGAAGTCCTGGTTTAAACTGTAATCATTCCAATTCGATTTGGACTGGTCAGTCACGGTTAGGTAGTAACGGTTCATTTAAAATCCATTGAACAATAATTATAAATTTTAATGACGTTATTTATAGAATAAATAACACGTATATTAATATGGAAATCAATATTTTACCACTGCTTTGTTGTTTTATGTACTTTTTATGTATGTATCTCAGAGCCTATCATGGTACCTAATAATAATTATTATCGAAAATATTTTTAAGAACAACGGTTGCAATTACTCTCGTCATAGTGCGAGCGACATGGAAGAGCCAGAAAACATCTGCTGCGACTTGTCTTCTGATAGAATTTGTATTTAAATACAATGTAGTACGTACTTTTCTATGAACTACATATCATCAATGTTGTGTAGTTTTGTAATAATCTACGAGCAGTTTTAAATTTATACCTAATACCAATAATGTAGTATAATTCAAAAGTCTTACAGGCCAAAGTTATTTTTCTTTCGTATGTTCAACCGTTTGCTCTGTCGAATTACATTGTATTTTCGATACGGTTCGGAAGAAAAAAAAATTGAAATAAGTCCAGTCCAGTTCATACATTATTACAGTCAAAAATTTGTTAGTTAAGACCAGTGATCGAGTCCACTCTAACAAATTATTTTAAATTTTCAATCTGGTCTGGTCTCGTTAAAAAATGAAATTTCCCTACAATTATGAATCATGCAGAGTAGGTACTATAGCCTAAGTATAGAAATATTTTCTGAAAATGTATTTAGAAGTATCATAGAAATAATGAAAATTATTTCTGTATTTGGTATACACCAATTTTACGTTTTTTGATTATGTAAATAACTGTTTTTGTTACTCCAACGAATAGTATTTCTTTTGCTCAACGTTCGACCATTCGAAGTATATGTGTCAATGTGTATGTATCGCCGAGTCGCTGAGCTGTTCAGAATGATATTTAAGTGCCATTAAATTGAGTTTATAAATGTTTACAAATGCTTCAACTGTTTATTCAGTATATATTAAATGAATATTTATGTGTATTTAAAAACTGAATTATTATTAAACACCGTTGTTTAATTTCAATTTGGTTGCTATAATTTTAATCCTACCACTGGGGAGATAAAATATTTGTCATTTTTATAATATACTGTCGCGTTGCATAATGATTTATAATAGCCGATCGGGACACTTAAGCACTTAAGTCTTCTTCGAGTATTGGTTTAACAATTGATACAAAAGCATTGTTCAGACAGTTTGCTTTGTATACTCAATATTAACTCAGTTCCATCTTTTAGTAATAAACATTTCTGCTTGCTCGCAAGGTCACGGGAAGGGTGACTATTTATGTGAACTGAAATTCATGTGAACCATAAAAAAAAAAACATTTTTATTGAATGAATAAGGCTTCAATGTCTGAGATTTATGGTCAAAAATTGTTTACATATTAATCTTAAAAATAATGCAGGTTGAACATTTAGAGGTATTGGTTGAATAACTTATATTAAATTAGATTTGATAAACCTATGTCTGTGAAAAACTTGAAAACTCTTCCTCTCCAAGTTTTATCGTATGTGTGTTTCTTGAAATTTTTCTGAAGCTGCAGAACGTAAGACACTCTAGTACGAAGTGTTTGATGGTAATAAGTTTGTCCCGGAGTTCCCAGGTTGGAGGCTCTTCTTGAGTCATAAGATGTAGAAATGTGTTAACACTTACCGTACCCACTCGGTTTATAACTTCCTAGTTGTCCTATTGCCTGATTATGATACGGCGCTAATCAACGTTGGTATACGTCCGCGGTCGGCCGATTATTTAGACGTCGCCAGCCGCTGGAGCCCGTTCAGGTGCGTGCAAACGTTCCGGTACTCGTCCCAGCACCCGTAGTACCGTTCGATCAGTACCGCCAGCCGGTCGCAGCACTCGTCGTCGTC